ACGAATAGTAAAACATTTAGCAGCCGGAACAAATGAGCCATACGCTTAAATAGCAATGTACTGTAGAACGCAACACAAACATACAAATAATTTAAGTAAAACCTCTAGCCATTTAGTTGTTTTCAAGTTTAAGAAAGCTGTTTGACGTTATCCGCTTGACGTCTTGTTAGCCGTGGACAGGTTCTGTAGGGATGAACTGTCGGCGGCGTCGATATCTTTGACGTCGATATGGAAGTCGTCGTTGGCGAACGCCAAGCCATGCTTAAAACCATCCCTGAGATCCGTCAGATGCCTCTCGATAGATTTGATCTGCTTGTCGAATTCTGGCGACCGTTCTCCTTCCCTTGGGTTGAAGTACGGGTCGTACAGGTCACTGCCGTGCCAGTATGTAGCCCCGTTGACCGTAATGCCAGGTTCGTCGCCACTGCCGCTCTCCTCCTTCGTCGAACCTGCCGGCTCAGTCGACTTGCCTCTCGTCGCTGAATCGTTAGCAAATCTAATGGGGGTAGGAGGGATGGGACTATTGGGAATCGAAGGCGATACAGGAGTATTTTTTACGAAGTCGTCGAAGCTTTCCCACGTCTGAAAATAAGCAAAGCAGTGGTTAGCGAAAAGGAAACCAAAACATATGACAGGAAATCTCTTCACTGCTCATAAAATAGAGTTCTGAACTCGCCCTGCATCGACATCCGTCTAAATGAGAAAAAATCATCAATGGTACAAACGAGCGGTTCCATTACGTGATACACATGTACAGTCTTAACGAATAGCTACGGGCTTCTCATAAAACTGCCAGTAAGAGGTCCTGGTGTTATCAGCATCTGTGAAAAAGATTCAGAAAAAATATCTTGCGTTTTGAATCTCTGACATCGCTTAATAGATATAAAATCACGAATTTGCCCGTTGAATGGTAATTCTATCCTAGGTGTATTCATTCCCAATATTTTATAACAAATTCTTAAATTAATAAGCGGGAATATATTTCATGTTCACCAGAGGTCCAGCAATGGTCAGTACTTCTTGCAACGTATTCTGCCCACTGGCACGTTGACTTGTACTTTAACAACGGCACTGTACCTAAGATCTCTAATTTCGATCTCAGCGCGCATTCTACGAAGTCTCATTGATACCAAACAAGAATGTCTTTATTTGCTCAATGTGACATACGTGACATTTCTTCCAGCTTGTCTCCAATGACAGGAATTCCTCAATCGATAGAACGTCAGACTCGAAATCGAGAGAACATCGGTTTGAATCCTAATCTGGTCACTCGCTTTCCTTCCTTCCAAGGCTGATCAGTGAGTACTACTGTATGAGAAAGAAACAGGAGAGTACAAACCAAGCGTGCCACATAGCTGCTGCCGACTGTGCCTGTAAAATAAAGCACTGCTGACTGGTAACAAACTTTCCTTTTTGCTTTTAGCCTTTTCTTCATAACACCTTCAAAATAACAGTCGTTAAAGTCATGGCAGGGCGGATACAGCCTTACTTTTAAGCAGATGCTAACGCTTGTTCCCGATGAATACCGCTGTATGTTTGCTAAGCCCTTGGCAATATTTAACGAAATGTTTGGTGATCATCTGTGAGCCTGATTACGCGAACTGCTTACGCCGAATCGAAGCGAATTTTCGAATACAGTAAATGCGGCATTATGTGTTAGTGTATTGCGCTATTTCGTTAACCTATAACTGAATTACAGCTGTTAAATTTTGAAATTTCTACGATACAGTGGGAATCGTTGAAGAATTGCTATGGCAAACTTACGTGTCTAGATGACATGTCTTAGGGAGTGCTTCAGGAAGGAATGAGTCCAACGAACGCTGAACATAGAATAAACTGTATCCAACGGACCGGACTAGTCTGTTTCTGAAAATAAACGTTTACTCGCTAGCGTACCTTTGCAACAGACTGCGTGCTCGGCAGATTGAGACTTTTCTGGCCGGTGGTGACCTGGTTCAGCAAGCCGTAATTGAGTTGCTGCGTATTCTGCGAGATCTGGC